CTTTTCAGACTTATTTTGTGGCTGAATATAATTTGTAGCTTCTTAAAATCTGAATGAGGATAGTGATAGTGAGATACTGGCTACAGTGATGAAACAAAACCAGCATCAGATGGACTGTATTCATAATCAATACACCACAATAATATAAATAACCAGCGCCAATTCATCAGTCAATGTGAATGTGTGTGTGGGCGGGGCATAAGCACATACAGCCAGCAGCAGCAGCGACCCACCGTCTGACACCGGCACACCGTGAGGACAGAAACAGAGGGCTCTGTGGGGACGGAGCACCTGCTGCAGCAAGCCAACACGCCGTCTGTGGTCATTTTGACCAGCAGACTTCACTACAAGCTGATTGGCTGTTAAAACAGGTGACGTACTTTAAAACCAGCCGTCAGCCATTTGACCAGCTGAGTGTCAGGTGACACCATCAGCCAGCTTGAGTCGAGCTCAGACCGGCCAGTTCACACCGCTGACACTTTTCTCTGTGTTCTCTGTGTTCTAAAACAGTTTTGTCTTGTTGTGAATCTTTGGTCTGAACTGGACTCAAAACAAGCTCAGCGAGCTGCTAACACAGTTAGCCTGTTAGCTTCAGCTTTATTCTGAATCAATCAACCAGAAGCTGCCATGTCAAATAAAAGTCTCACTAGGAAAAACTGCTGAGGAAAAATATAAACTACAGGAGTGGTTCCCAACTGGTGGGTCGTGGTCTAAAAGTGCGTCACAAACGTGTCTTTGTTTTTAAGCACAGTGAATTTTCAGCACAAAGCTTTTATTTTGAAGTGCTGTTTCCTGCTGTAGAGTCAGACTACTGGACAGAAAGAGCAAACCAACTGTGTTCACACCAAACACAATGAGAAGTTTCATGTCACATTACTGTCATGAGTTTGACCACTGGAATATTTTGTGTTGACTCTTTATATGTGCGCATATCTCGTGAACTTCCACCGGTACGTCCTCAGCGTCATCCATCCCTGGATGATCTCAATGCTGATTGGCTATTGCAGCACGAATTGGTCGCTGAAGTTCAGATTTTTCAACTCTTGTGACTAAGCGCATGATGTGAAATCACACTACTCGCTTCATTTGCATTGCTTAATTCACGTGTTTCATGTCATTCATGTCATGTACATCACGCCACCCAGCGGGATTTCACGTCTAATCTGGTCTTTACGTGTCAGTCACTGGTGTGAAGCGTTTTATTGAGGTCGGTGTGAACACATGAGGAGAAATGTGAATCACTGATTTACAGAATTAAACCAGTTGAACTCTGATAACAATCTGCTGGTGTCAAATTAGGATGATGAAATATTTTTAGAATATTGAGTTCATCTTTTTCCAGGAATCATTATTAATTTATATATTTCACACAATTCATTGGTATGATATAATTAATATTAATATTAGTAAAACATCTAATTATTCCATATGAAGACAGTGATGTTTGACGCCAGGCAGCGTGATGGGCGCCATGGATGAAGCGAGTGGTGCAGTTTTGCATCGTTTGCTTATTCCTGTTAAAAAATCTGAACTTAAACATCTCATTTGCGCCGTGACCAATCAGCACGCCAAAGACGTACTGGCAAGTTCATGTGTGGATGATGCAAGTTATTTGTGCATATGAACCAAGTCAACATAAAATATTCTAGCGTTAAACTAGCGTCAGTAATGCAACACGAAAATTCACATCATGTTTGGTGTGAACACGACATGAGAACAAAAAGGATTTATATTAAAATTAACTGAGGCTGTAACATCCGTCGAACATTAGTGTGATCATCTGATCCAAACTCACCTTTTCAACATCATGGAATGGCTGCAGAGAGAAGACAGAGACAGAGAAGAAGAGGATGATGAGGCTGTGATGAAGAGCACATCCTGTACCTCTAACTGAAAATAAATCAGTTCATGACTTCACTTCCCTCCACACACTGAAGGTTAATGACCCGTCAACACAGAGAGAGGTGACGGCCATAAAGACCAACCAGCCAACGCCCAACCTTCATCCATCATTGCACCCCCTCCCCCCCTCCCCCTCCACCCATCACTCCCATCTAAACCAATTAGGACTGACCTGTGAGTGACTGGAAGATAAACTGGCCTCAGGCTGGAGCTCATGAAGACGGACGTCTTTAAATGTGTGACAGTCTCAGGAGGACAGACCTGAGTCTATCTGAGTAACGAGACACATTCATGCTCCCTCATTACTTATCCACCTTCATCATGTGTCCCTCGTCTTCCTCATATTCATTATATTCTGTAGATGATGCAGTTTAGTTAGAAGCTGACTGAACCACAGCTCTGATGATTCCTGAACGCTCAGACTCACAGGTCACTGATTAAACCTCCTGCCTCACATGTTCTCACTGGATTAATCAGGTGTGATCAGGTGATTTCAGGTGATATCAGGTGTGATCAGGTCATATCAGGTGATTTCAGGTGATATCAGGTGTGATCAGGTGTGATCAGGTGATTTCAGGGTTTCAGGCTGGGTGAGAAAATGTGGAGAGTATCACTGTCTTTACATTTCAGCTGTGAACATGGATGCACCACTGACAGGCTAACGTTAGCTAACTTTAGCCTCTGTTTTCTGTCTCATCTAGGGATGGAAATCTCCATCCCCAGGACGATACGATATGCATCTCGATATGTAGGCTACGGTACGATACACTAACGATTCACATGAAGCATCTAACGATTCAGTACGATATGATTTATCTTCCTACCGCGATTCAATCACGATGCAATTACGATTCAAAAACAATGCAAATCTGTGCAAATTCAACTCAACTTTATTGTTCCTTCAAGAACATATAAGCAGTACCATACTTCTCATCATTAAGAGGCTTATAACAAATGAAGACAGATCTCTTAAATTAGGCTACTTAAGCATTGAGGAGGTGTTTGTCAACATAAATAAGTTGGCCTATTCACAAAAGGCACATAGGCCTAACAGTAGTGGAGCTCAGCCTACAAAGCTGTCAGGAGTCAGGACATGTTATTAACAATTTAGACTAAACAGATAAACAGTCACAAAACAGGTCTGTCATAACTACAAAAATAAAGATTAGGCCTACATAAACAACACCAGCCTCACCATTATCATAACAGCAAACTTAAGACAAATGTCTTTTTTTAAGGTTTTTCTTCATGAATACCAGCTGATCCACATGTTCAGGGGCAAGTAAACTGCGCTGGGCTGTGACTATGTCACCTGCTGTGCTAGATACTCGCTCCGACGCTACACTTGTTGCTGGAATGGACAGATAGTGCTTTGCCAAAGCTGCAAGCAGTGGAAGATCTCCTTGATATCTCCACCACTGTAACACATCACCACTCAGATCTAGAGAAGCCCTCTCCTGATATTTCAAGATTTCCTCCTTAGCTCTCTCCCTTGTGGTCTTCAGTGGTGCTCTCAGAGTGAGGAATCCCCCAAACATCTGGTCCAAGGCTGTTTTCTTCGCTGGAGGCTCAGGGACGTCATCTAAGGAGTGGATCAGAGGAGAAGGAATTACAAGTTGTGCAATTATGTCTGTCATTCATTTAACAGTAAATGGCATACATAAATAATAAATCAATAAATAATAAATACACAATGTCTAGGCCTAATAATTAATAAAGCCACATTCACATGATCCACAAAATACTTTATCACAGCTCTGAAATATCCTGACTAAACAAACCTGTCTCACTCTCTTCCTCATTCTCACTCTCTTCCTCATTCTCACTCTCTTCCTCTCGGTGAGTGCTCCTGTCACGTTGTGAGCTGCCTTCAGCTGTCTGGCTGTCATTCTGGCTGTCTGTGTAACTGTCACCTGCCTGACCATAATCAGTATTCATTATTCATTAATTACTACTACAGAATTGGTATAAAACAGATTTTCTTAAACTAAACAAATGAACATCACCATGACATGCCAGTAGAGAGAGAGAGTGAAAGAGAGGGAGCGCTGAGTAGTCTAAATCTTACCTCGTCCTCTCCATCCATGTTCACCACCTCTGCAGCAATCTTCATGAAGATTGTGTCCTTGGTGGTTTCATCATCAAGGAACGCCAGGTCCTTGAAGCGTGGGTCAAGGGCTGTGGCACAGTGGAGGGTGTCTTGGATATTGGCATAGCGGCCGGAAAAGTCCTGGTTGAATCGTCGTTTCATCTCTGAAATCTCAGGCAGATCACTTTCTTTTGCCTGGAAGTGCTTCTGCAGTTTCGCCTGGAGTGGAGAGATCATTGTGATGGTGGGATTCTTTTCCTCGCTGAGGAGTGTGGTTGCCACTTTCAGGGGAGTCATCAGTTTGACGACTTCTTGGATCAGTGCCATGTCGTCTTCACTCAGCCTGGCCATGTCTTCGTCCTTCTTGATTTTCCTTGAGAGCAAAGTATTCAGCACGGCAGGCTGCTGTTCCCAGAAACGCGCCAGCATGTCAAGGGAACTGTTCCATCTCGTGGGAACATCATGGATCAGCTTGTGCTTTGGCAAGTTGAGCTGGGTCTGGGTTTCACGTAGCAGTTCAGTTGCCTTTGGGCTCATGTGAAAAAATGTAACCACCTGAATGGATGGATGAATGAATGATTGAGTGAATGAATGAAATAAACTTTGTCATTATACAGTACAGGTACATGTATAACAAGATTTGGTTGGTAGGCCTACTCTCCAAAGTACACTCACCTTTCTCAGTTTCACCAGTAGCTCCAACACCTTTTCAGGGCTTTTTGTGAAGCCAAGTTGAGTAGGTGCGCGGCGCATCTCACGTGTAGACCAACTTTTGCCAAAGCTGCAGCCAGTAGCATGTTCGAGGCGTTATCTGTGACCAAGGCTGTTTTCTTGTCTTGTAATTTCCACTCGCGGAAAACTTCCTGCAGCAAGGCTGCTAGATTCTTCCCTGTGTGGGCCTCGGTAAACTTGCGCGTTTGTAGCACATGGCTTTGCGAAGTCCACTCTTCGTCAATGTAATGTGCTGTGACAGTGACAAACGAGTCTGTAGCACAAGACGTCCAGCCATCAATTGTCATGACGACTGTATTAGCATTATGCATTGATTTAGCTATGTCTTGTTTTACTTTCTGGTACAGCTCGGGTATTTGTTTTTCCGCGAAAACCTTCCTGCCTGGCTTTTTATACCTCGGCTCCAGGACGCTCATGAGGTATTCAAAGCCCTCGCCCTCTGTAGCACTGTACGGCTGGATATCTTTGCATATATAGATTGCAATGGCTTTAGTTATTACCTTGGCGCGGGCAGAGTTTGCGCCCAGAGGAGTTTGGAAAAAAGTACTGATGCTTGGCTGTTTGTTAGCGCCGCTGGAGCTACTAGTAGCATGAGGTGAATCCGAGGCATGATCCAAGCCGGGCGAGTTGGCTAATACCGAGGGGGCTTCTTCAGCCACACTGTGTCGTCGTTTCAGGTGAGTTATCAGGTTGGTCGTGCTGCCTGTGTACTTTATAGCAAGACGGCATATCTTACAAATTGCTTGGGACTTATCAAGGTTTCCGTCCTTTTTGAAAAATCCGAAGTGACGCCAAGCATTGGACTTGTATGTATGGCTCGGTAAACTATGAATTTGTTGTTCGTCTTCTGCCATGTTTACCGGTAGCCCACTTTAACACGTTCGTTTCTTGTCGACTCTGTTGCATGGATGTTATTGTTGTTATTCTTCTTCTTCTTTTTCAGCCCGGATGTTGATATTCAGTGACTAGTGATGCGTACTACGCCTAGGGGTGAATAGGTGAATCAGAGTGTGTCTGCTCGTGAGAAACGGCTGATTGAGATAATTATGGAAGTGAATTGACTGAAAATAATCATTTAAAATATATATATAATAAGAAGAAATCGGATTTTACCGATGCAAAGCTTTTACAAGGAGATGTGGTTTCAGCCCAGTTTATATCCAATGTACACCACTCCAACCGATGCAATGTATCATAGACCCTTGCATCGATGCACTGATTGCGCATCGGCTAAAATGCCCATCACTAGTCTCATCAGCACTCTGATGAACGACATCATATTTAAAGAAGCTAACGATTCAAAAGCTCAACCTGTGACTGAAGTCTTTGTCAGTGATGCTGAATGCTTCCAGCTGGTGTTTGTTCTGATGATCGGCTGACAGTTGTATAACCTTCATATCTGGGCAGGTGGAGTACTCCTCACCTCTGACCCCGTCACCACCTCCCTCCTCCTCTGCAGGCGCTCCACGTCGTCGATCTCATACACCTTTATCTCAAAGGGTTCCTTCAGCGTGCCGCCCAGTGGGGGCAGGTCCACCCACTGACCCCCGACCTTCCTGATCAGGGATGAGGGGTCCGGCAGGGGAGCTGGGATCAGACGCCGCCGGAGGAAACCTGATGGAATAAAAATGTGACAACAGAAACAAGGTTTAATTTCATTCTTGATATCAGTAGATGACAGGTGGCGACACAGACGGCTCGTTATTTTTAATTAGCCTCATCGTCTTCATCAGTTCAGTGTTCCAACACTGTTCTGTGTCAACAACCATTTGTGTCGCTGATAAGGTTTAAAACCACCACCGTCAACCTGAAGACCTCCATCTTATTTTTAATGACTTTGTACAGGCGTCTGTCAGAGAGCCGCCAAACAAATTAATTTTATCATTATCATAACTGCCGAGAGAGTAAAACCAAAAGCAACAGCGTGCAGCACAAACACAGAGACATTACTGGTTATTAAGAGCGTTCAGAGTCTGTATGTGACGACTCGACAGCGGTGACAGATTGAGGGGGAGTGTGTGTGCTGTGGAGTGGATGGGGGGGGTGTGTGGGTGATAATTGGAGTTGGATATGTACACCGGGAATCGCAGCAGCTTCATGAAATATTCATGAGGCAGAAACGAGCCCAGATCTGCAGACTGATGGCAGACAGATCACACGAGTGCTGATTCCATATGCATCAGGCTGCCTGACCTGCACATCGCTGCCATGAATCACAATCAGCTGCTGTACGGTAACAGAGGCAGGACACACTACACCGGCCCAGATAACGTGTGTGGATGTAGATCTGAGGACAAATCAATGCAGTGATATATCAGAGAGGAGAGCAGCCTTTGATAAAACCTCAACTCTTCAATGTGCTTCATGAAAATATGAGACCCAACAGCCGCTTTCATCCCATCATCACACACGCTGATGTACCAGAGCACGCCGCAGAAAAAACTCATATACATGTTAATTTATTGATGTAGCTTCAGAAGAGTTTTATGGCTCTGTCACAGTCTGAATCAGTACAATCAGAATCAGTTGGTGAATGTCAGATTACAGCGTTAAACTTCTGCTGTTCACTCTGATGATGTCAAACCTCATTTCAATAATAATTAGAGGAGATGAAACAGTGATGCTCCGCCCTCTGAGGATCCACCTCACATTCCTCAGCTGACAACAGAGATCTGCAGGGATGATGTGTTTCTGTAGTCCGACGTTGAAGTCAGCGGTGCCCTGGTTCCCTCGTCAAACACCCAATCAGATTGCTCCGTTGGATTTTGGATAACAAATGTTTCTGATCAGTCAGATAATCTTCACTAATGAACACCACTTTATGATTGTTGAAGAATGAATTTAATCAGCCACAAATCACCACCAGGCCGAGTCCGTAAACAAACTGCACCAAGGTCACATGACTTAACGTCACCACCACAGCGAGGCTGTGACGTTGTGTTGGATGTGGTGGCTTTCTGTAGTCTCATCTTGTCAGAGACACATAAAGCTGTAAACTGACAGCGGGGTATTTACTGACGTCTCTTCAGCTCATGTTGACCACAGACATTATTTCACACACTGACTTCACGACCAGGGAACAGGAAGTACTAATATGCTAACATGCTAACTCGTGTCCAGGGGTGAGGACTCATTCCTGCTCCACTGTATTTAGGACTTTAAATGTCCACAAAAACACAGGCTGTAATCTCTCTACAGAAAAACACAGTACACATGATGCAGTTGGTCTCCAGCTACAAACGTCTCAGTACTATGAGAACATCAGGGACCACAGTGTACCAGGTCTGTAATGAAGTAGAAGTACACATGTGTGAGGGCTGACAGAACATAAAGTGTCCACATGTTGTGAAATTTATTGATGCCTTGATCTTTTTGATTCCTGAAGGATGAATCCAGGGTTAGAGACATCATGGACAGTTTGAAGTTTAACACTGTGGATGATTAAAACTCTGATGGTTCACATCACCTTCATAAAGATAACTAACAGCTGTTATCACCATCAGGTAGGTCCTCATTTATTTATGTACCAATCTGCGCTGGGCCAACACTGATCACCCCACTTATCAACTGCAGGACACTTTGGTGACTCACTTTAGTCTTTAGTTCAGTTAATTAGTTAGTTAGTTAGTAGTCTCTATATACAGACTTTACATTCAGTGAATGTAAAGTCTGTAGGCAAACCCCGGAGAGCTTGCCTCTGGAAGAAGAGCAGAAGAGCCCTGGTTTCCGGTTGTAGGCTGTTTGTAGTCCGTGTGATATTGACCAATCACATTTGAGCGGGCTGCAGTTGTTGCCAGGTTAAACGGTCCTTGCGGTGAACTAACGAGGCGGAACATAATTGGCGTCACTGCAAACTCCGAATGCATTGCAATGGTTCAGCATATTTACTTATATATAAACAGAAGTCGGAAATGGAAATTCGCCTCCTCCGCCCAAATCAAACCAGAATGCCAAAAAATCGGGGGTCTGCCCCCAGAGGCTGTATCGCCGTCTGCCGGAAGTCAGACGCCGAATACAGCCAATGGGTTCCAAGAATAGTTAGGACTGATGGCTGCCATCCTTCAATGGCATCAAAATATCCATTGAGTGTGAAGATATGTGGACAAACTGTCATTGATTCATGGCCAAATTTTACCCCAGGCAAATGTTCTCATTTTACGCACGTTGTTCATTACTCAGACATATTCTGCAAGTTTTGTAATGATTAGACAAATGATTCGAGATCTATTGTCTGATTTGTGTTGTGCCAGGCACATTTTTTGCATTTGTGACACCTCTTAGTCGTCAAATTAAACGAACCTCTCAGGGTATGTTTCAGGTACTAATGAGGACATTAACTGCAAGTTTCGTGATGATTGGCCAAACCATTGTTGAGTTAGGTCTATTTATGTGCTGAGTTACGCCCCATTTGAAGTTCATCAGTCAAGAATTTCAAATCATACTGAGATATTGACAAGATTTTAATAACCTTAGATCAGCTTAGTCCAATAATGATCCACAGAAAATGTGGTACAAATCAGACCTACAGTTTAGGAGATGATGTCAAAAACAGATTTAAAAAAAAAATTCAAAATGGCATAAAATCTAGTCAGGCAGGTCTTAAGAGGCTTTCTGTAGAGGCCACTGAGCTGCACTTGTGTTTTCAATTTCAAGTTAATCAGACTGGCTCTGCAGGACTTATGACTGTTCAAAGTTGACCTTAGATTACAGCGCCCCCACCAGGCAGATTGGCATCATATTTATTGAGTCTGAACAGTCTAAACATTCTGAATCCACCTGTTTACATCTCTGTGACGTGATGAAAACAGGTGCAAAGCAGACTCACCGTTTCCTCTCTTCTTGGGCGATTTGGAAACTCTGCTCCTATTGGACGAGGACACTCCGCTCTCGCTCATGGAGTCGTGTGCTGAAGAGGTGCTGCCGGTGGTCTCACTGTCCCGGATCATACTCTCATAGCCGCTGCTCCCCCCGCTGTGGTAAAACAGGGCGGTGCGTCCCATGGCGGGGGGCAGCTCCCCACTGAGGATGCTGCTGTTGTCACTGCCGTGCCCGCTGCTGTAGCGCTGCGGCCTGCGAGGCGCTGTGATCTTGCTGTAAGGTGATGGCAGCAACATGTTGATTGGCGAACCACTGATACTACTAGTCCCGCTGTCAGTGCCATCACTTCCTGTCACTCTGGTGCCCCTGCTGAGCTGCTTCCTTTGACTACCAGTGGCTAGCTCGCTAACACGGCTGTTAGCTGCCCTGCTGATGGCCTGTTTCGTGCCCATGATGGTGCCTCTTCCTGTCTTGGCTCCTGCCCCCGACCGAGCGGGGGACTTAACAGTTGGAGACAGGCTGGTGTTGCGTGCAGCACCATTATCAGGAGGTTTAGGAGAGGAGCTCGTGCTTTTGGAAGTGCTGGCGGACAGAGTTCGAACCTTTGATCCACCAGAAACTGCTGCTCGACAGCTGCTGCTGCTTTTGACCTGACCAAGCTTACTTGTAGGTGCAAGGACAGCAGAGGAAAGTTGTGAAGCAGCAGCAGAGGTGGAGGTGGAGGCTGGAACCCCGAGTCTTGGCACTGATCTGTTGGATCTGCTGTTCCCTCCTAAAGTAGCACCACTGCTCTCCCTGGACGGTTCAGGCTTGGACCCTGCTGTTTGACCGTCACATCTCTCCAGAGACATCAGACTGCCAAGGTACCTGGAAGAATCTGCTTTGATCCCTCGTGTCTTCAGGCTGGAGGACATCCTTGCAGAGCCCTGTTCAGTTTTCAGACTGGATGTCCTGTGGGTGAACGACTCGGCCCGCAGCCTGATGTTGAATTCCTCCTCTGAGGTTGATGTTTTAGGGAACGGTAATTTTCCAGTGTCGCTGCTTGTTTTTAAGGCACTTGGAGAAATCGCAGGCTTTGTCTTTTGTTCTTGGCTCGACTGTCTGACAGGTGGAGCAGCAGGGGAGATATTTCCAGATCCAAACTTGGAGATGACGCTGCTTTTCTGCCCGTTTGACTTTTTTCCCAGGGATGAAAACCTCAGGGTTCCTGTCACTGACACACCCTCATTACTCCATTTCAGTTCAGAACTCTGGGGAACAGAAACGGTTCCCAGAGTTGTTGCGCCCCTGGTGAGTTGTGGCAGCTTGATAAGAGTATCTCCTCTCCTGCTGCTGGACTTCTCACAGCCGTCAACAACCCTCTGAGCTGACGTTTGTGCCTTTGGTGGGCGGGGCACACTGTTACTGTTCCCGCCGGGCCTCTTAGAGGAAACACTACTCGTGCCACTTCTCAGTGGCTTACCAGCAGAGAGAAACTCCACCCCTCTGGGATCAAAGTGGCTGCTTCCCTGAAGCAAAAAGTCATCATGTCTGCCTTCCTGTCTGTTGTAGGCTGCTGCTGCAGATGAGGTAAGCTTATTTTTCCTGGGAAGACTGGAATGGGCGGCGTGATGGGAAATGTGGGCGGACACTGAAGGATTCAGGGTGCTGGATCTCACCTTCAGAGAGCCTCTGGCTTTGGTTGAGTCAGGGGAGGGGGGGCACTTTGTCAGAGAAGGTTTGTTCGGAGTAGCAGGGTCACTGTCCAGCTCTGAGAAACAGATGCCGCTGTCGTTCAGGGAGCTCTTGATGCCGTGCTGCAGAAACGGCTGTTTATGAAACATACTTGGCGAGGACAGCATGGACGCACTCTGTGATGCCACAATTCTGTCCCTCACGTAAAGCCTGTTAATGTTGCTTGAATGAGCGCCTTCAGCTTCAGCCGAATCAGCACTCACCTCTCTCAACCATGAGTCAGTGGACTGCTTGTTGTCATATTGGGAAAACTGCAATTCCTGGCATTCAATGCCAACATCAGCCCCAGGTCCCACAGCTCCATGTTGACACGTGTACGCATCATACTCATCGTTAATACTGCTGATGATGCTGACGGGCCGCGAGCCAGAGGCTAAGGCCTGTAGAGAGCAGTCAGTGTTGAAGCTGAGGAGGTTGGAGGGGCGGCCGTTGTCCGGGACGAGGCCATGTGGAAGCTCCTCTACAACTGTGAACACAAGCTCGTCCTCCCCGTTCAGCTCCACCGGCTGCTGCAGAGTCACGGTCGTCCTCAGAAAATCTGTGTCCAGACATCTTCCTAACAGAGCGGCCCGCAAACTGTGGGCCCTCTCCATGTTGGGGGACCCCAGCGGTTGGCTTTGCCTCAAGGCCGGTTGGCTCATACCCACTGGGGGAGTCCTGGCTACAATGCCCCTGGACTGAGATGCTGCCCTGGATGTCCTGGGTATAGACGGCGAGGCTGACGGTTTGGGAACACCTCCTGTGAGGTAGACCTTCTCTCGAACCACAGGCTCTGCATCCTGGCCCAAAGCCCCGACCTGTTTAACCCCACATGGCTGAGGGGGAGGGGCTGGAAGTTTCTCCCCATCTGCACTCATCCGTCTGGAAGAGTCCAGGAGGCCGCTGACTGAAGGGGATTTGGATTGTTCCTGATCAGGTTTATTTGTGCTTTCTAAGAACCTGTGGGAAGAGTACGTCTCAGGTTTAGGTGGAGACATTGCCTCTGTGGGTTTTGTAGCTCCACCCTGAGTCCTGAGTGCCACTGCTGGTGCTGCTTTGACCTCCATGCTGAACATGGCCGGACCCTCGCTGCCGTCAATGCAGTCGAGTCTCTCCTGCAGCTCTGCAAAAGTGTTACACTTGAAGTGGTCTCCGTCAGACCGGGGGGAGTCTTTGACTCGCTTCTTGTTCAGGGAGGGGATGATGGGGACAAAGGAAGGCGGCCCCTCATTGTCTCTCAGCTCTCGGTCCGAGATGGCCGCCCCTCCGGGCCCAATGTAGATGACGGTGTCGCAAGAGTGTTCACTGCTGGAGGAGTAGTCAGGATCGCTGGAGAGCAGCAGGGGTGTGTCAGGATCGAGGGCCACAGTTCGAGGGTGGAAGGGCTGAAGATGAGGGGGTCGATGGGACGGGCCTTCCTCGCAGGAACTCTCCCCTCCGGATGAGCTGGAGGCGTACTGCAGATAAAAAGGACATAATTAACAAAGAGAAGAGACCTCAGCTGCAGTGATCAGCCTGAACACACGTCTGGAGCGTCGGCTGTCGATACAGCACGAGGTTACAGTGCACGCTGTGGGCCGGATTAACATGAATGTCAATGAGACGTATAAACTCATGACCACGTGGCTTCTTGCTTCTTCAGTCTGTATGATACAAATACAGCCTCTAATGAGAGTGAAGATCAGTTTCATCTCACCACAGACACACTGACATCATTTATCTGTCATATCACAGCAGAATAATCTCCCTGAGTTATGAGTCTGATCCTGTCGTACAGATTTACAGACACCAGCTGCAGGAAGTGGCTTAAAGCTCACTCAGAGAAACGCTTCCCTTTAAATGAGCTCAGAAGAAGCTTCAGTGTTTTTAAAGCTGTGATATATCAGCTGTATTTCCTGTCAGCTCAGTCTGCAGTGAAATGTGATATTTAAGCCCAGGGTGCCGTTTTCTTTCTGCTCCATTACATTAAATGTCAGTCACATCTCGCTGTTATTGAGCCTGACATATCTGGTAACCATGGAAACTTCACGATTGGCAGGAAATCAGGAAGTCACATCTCTCAAAAAAAAAACATGAGTACGTTTTTCAATTCAACAAAAGGTCTTTACACTTTAAACTGAGTCCGTTATTATTCTTTTTTTGTCCCAACATTCATTATTCATGCAGTAAAGAAATATTTGTTCCATCACATGGAAATATTTCAAATGTCTCCTCTCACAAAGTTAAATACTTTAAAGCTCATAAATAATAAGCTGATGTGACGACCTGCACGAACAAACAAGTTCCTGTTTAATATTGTTTCATTTTAATATTTTGGTTCAAACAGAGTCTTTAAAGAAGATCTCATACACTGTTCCTGCTCAGCTTCATGATTTAATGCTTATATTAATGTCTCGTTACTCTGGACCTTCGTTAAGAACATTTAACACCAGATTTTGCATGTTGTGCTTGTTCCCTTGTTTCCTGTCTGTTTCATACAGAGTATTAATATGTGACAGATGGTTCACGTGTCACTGTCAGGTATTCAGAAACACCTACACACACACTTGTGCACATGAAATTGGCAGAGCATTATTTAGGATCAGTGTTAAAAAGAATGATGTTAAATCCTCCTGACAAAGGTCCAGACAGAGGAAACATTAGTGTTACCAGTGACTGGTGAGGCTGAGTGAGATCAGTGTGCGAATCTTGACATTGACAGGTCTTGTCATGTTATCTCTAGTCACCTCATCTCTACTCATGGCATGTCATCTCTAGTCATGTCATGTCATCTCTACTCTACTCATGTCATGTCATCTCTAGTCACCTCATCTCTAGTTATGTCATGTCATCTCTATTCATGTCATGTCATCTCATCTCTAGTTATGCCATGTCATCTCTACTCTACTCATGTCATCTCTACTCATGTCATGTCATCTCTACTCTACTCATGTCATCGCTATTCATGTCATGTCATCTCTACTCTATTCATGTCATGTCATCTCAACTCTACTCATGTCATGTCATCTCTACTCATGCCGTGTCATGTCATCTCTACCCATGCCGTGTCATGTCATCTCTACTCATGTCATGTAATCCCTATTCATTTCATGTCATGTCATCTCTACTCATGTCATGTAACCCTCTTCATTTCATGTCATGTCATCTCTACTCGTCATGTCATCTCTACTCATGTCATGTAATCCCTATTCATTTCATGTCATGTCATCTCTAGTCATCCCATCTCTGCTCATATCATGTCATCTCTACTCATGTCCTGTCATGTCATCTCTACCAATGTCATGTCATCTCTACTCATGTCATGTAATCCCTATTCATTTCATGTCATGTCATCTCTACTCTACTCATGTCATGCCATCTCTACTCATGTCCTTTCATGCCACCCCTACTCATGTCATGCCATGTCATCTCTACTCATGTCATGTCATCTCTACTCATGTCATGTTGTGTCATCCCTACTCATGTCCTGTCATCTCTACTCATGTCATGTCATCCCTATTCATGTCATCTCATCTCTATTCATCATGTCATCTCTAGTCACCTCCTCTACTCATGTCATGTCATCTCTAGTTATGTCATGTCATCTCTACCCATGTCATGTCATGTCATCTCTACTCATGTCATGTCATCTCTAGTCACCCATCTCTACTCATGTCATGTCATGTCATCTCTACTCATGTCATGTCATCCCTATTCATTTCATGTCATCTCATCTCTACTGATTAATATCTGCTGATGTATGTTTTGTTTTTTGAGTTTTCTTTAATTTTTGCATGACGAAGATGAGACGTGTGGTCAGAGAGAATAAAACATTCAATTATAAATCTTTAAAATATCTTTAAATGGAGTTAAAGATTTGTCTCCACTGCTGCTGAGCCATAACAGAAATAAAAATCATTCAGTCAAACACTGTTAGCATCAATACAGATATTAAACGTGTCCTGATGGACTGTTTTTCATTTATCACCAAACATGAAATATAATTATCAGTCCCCTCTGTAGCTCATCGACAGCTCTGAGGAATAAAAGACTGAATAAAAGATGAAGCACCTTGGACTTCTTTTTCCTCATGCGGTGGATGCGGGACGCCAGCTGCACTGTGGTCAGCGTCTCCATGTAGTTGGTTGGGGAGTCAGAGATGTGGGCAATCATGGTGGTTCGACAGTTGATGTTACCGAGGGACTCTCTGAGCAGCATGGTGAGCTTACTGTCCCTGAATAATAGATCAAGAAACCCCTCGTTAGCCAGTAAACCAGAGCCGACGCTGAGACAGGCCTGTGAAACCCTCTGTTACCCCACGCACAGCAAAAGGAATAAAAATCATCTCTCATTTCACATTAATGACGCTGACTTTGAACTCATGTGATCTGGAGTCAGAACTACGGCCTCTAAAGACTCTGATCACATCCTGACTATCCAATCTGCAGCCTCAGCTTCTTTATAACTTCACAGCTGAGCTCCAGCAGAGCTCAGTGCTTGTTAATGAAAAGTTCACATTCACATCAGCCTCCTTAATGTGAGGATATTTAACAGGAAGTGAGTCACATTCACCGACATCTTGGTCTACGTGTGCACATCTGTTCACACTTGTGTTCTTCTAATGATGAATCCCAGTGTCCTCAGAAAATCAAAGTGCACGTCAACTGATCTTAATGAACACAAACTCCCAACAAACGCCCATATAAGGGCATCAGACTGCAGGGCCGCGTGAAAACAGGAACTGAAAAGAAAACTGAAGAGATGCATCAGATTCAAATCAGATATAATCAAATAAACCTTTGGTGTATAATCAGCTGCAAATAAGATCCAATGTCTGACCAAATGTCTCCCCTTCTGTTCCTGAGATATGACGTTAAAACATGATGATGTCACAGTACAGCTGACCTTTGACCTTTTGACCTTTATTATTTTATCCTGTTAGACATTTGTGTCAAGTTTGCTCAGAATTCGTGTATGAGATCTTCAGTTATGGACGAAAACATGTTTTGTGAGGTCACAGTGACCTTTGTCCTTCAAAAGCCAAATTGTAATCAGTTCATTCTTCAGTCCAAGTGGACGTTTGTGTCAAATTTGAAGGAATTCCCTGTTGTGGAGCTGACAGACGACCTCTCAAGTTGTTCTTGAGAATGAGATGGATGCAAGATCACAGTGATGTTGATCTTTGACCACCAAATTCTAATCAGTTCATCACTAAGTTCAAGTGGATGTTTGTGCCAAATATGAGGAAATTCCCTCAAGGTGTTCTTGAGATATCGCAGTTATAAGAATGGGACAGACGACAAACCTGAAAACATAATGCCTCTGGCTGCAGTTACCGTCGGGATGGAGGTTTAAAAATATGAATGATAAAAACATGATTGTAATTTAGATTATACAGTAGAGTTATTATACAGCTGTAGAAATGAAGGAAACACATGAACCATGCGAAGTGTAACGACAGGTGGTGAATGAGGCCCAGTGACTGAACAGCAGAGACCCATCGAAGAGCCTCAGATGGACTCATCAGATGCGTCCATCTTTCTTTCAGATGAGTGAAGGCCGTACACGGATCATGAGACGAGGTTGTGAGGCACAAACACCTACCACCACGCCCCACCCCACCTAATCCACCACCACAAGACTTAGTTAACCAACATGTTCTCATCACAACTCGTCACATACTGCAGCTTGTTCAGTGGACTTCTGACGTCTTCATGTGATGCGCAGGTATCCAGGGCATGTTGATGTTCTGGTGTCAGTTTACACCTGTTACATGCAGCGTGTCTTTTCAAAATCAGCCTCTGTTTTTACAGGAAATGGTCAGTTTCTGCTCCTTAAATTCAGACAGTCTTTTTCAAAATCAACTTGAAACATTGGCCAAAACTTTGTTTTTAGGTTTACTTCCTGGAGTTCAGGAGACAAAAACACATAGTGTAAGAAAGTAATCAATTAACTAAACTCCATAACTGCCTTAAAGACATAAAAACTTGGATGAGCACCAATTTCCTGATGTTAAATTCAGAAAAAACTGAAGTTATTGTTCTTGGCCCCAAACAACTCAGAGACTCTTTATCTGATGACATAGTTTCTCTAGATGGCATTGCTCTGGCCTCTAGCACTACCGTAAGAAACCTCGGAGTAATATTTGATCAAGATTTGTCTTTTAATTCTCATTCAAAACAAACCTCAAGGACTGCATTTTTTCATCTGCGTAATATTGTGAAAATTAGGCCTATCCTGACCCGAAAAGATGCAG